GCTGAAAGCCGGGGGGAGGTTGTAAATTTTTTGTGAGGGTACGAGTGTGGCTGCCGAACAACAAGGCATGGGAAGGGGGGGGGGGGAGGGGGACGGGGGGGAGGGCGAGCGAGAGGGCCAACGAGCAACTGTTCGTCCGCTCACGGCGGGTTGGAACGTACGCCATACGGAAGCCAGCAGTTCCGTAAGAGTAGACGACCGAGTCGGGCTTGGGGTATGAAGCAATACCCGCAGTCAGGTTGGCTGTGATGTCAGCAGGGAGCAAGGACATGGTGGGTGATGGGAAGGGGAGGAGTGGGAGGAGTGGGTGCGGGTTGGTGGTGAGTGGCCAGTGGGGCGAGTGTAGCTACGCCGCGAGTGGACAGACTCGTCGACGAGTTGGTGGACGTGGTGGCGACCGAGGTAGTGGGGGTCGGGAGGGACAGGGTCGAGCGGAACGAGCGTCTGTGTTTTGTTTGCTGCGTGCTTGTCTGTCTGCTTGTGGTGTGTGTGTGGTGCGTGGCTATGGCGGGCGTGGACGATAGGAGCCAGACGGCGGCGGCGGTGAGCGCGGTGGGCGACTTGCTAGCGCAGCTGGGTGTAGAGATGGGCGATGGATCGGCGAGCTCGTCTTCGCGGGAGAGGCGCGGTGGCGGACGTGGCAGAGGTGGTGGTGGTGGGAGCAAGAGTGGGACGCGGACGGCCGGGCAGACAATGACCGGGCGTGAGCTGGCAAGGATCCTGGCGGCGGCCAAGACGGGGATGGCGAGCCCAAGCGATGACGGCGGTGAGGCGCTGATGGCCTCGCTCTCGCGGGCCGCATCGACGCTCTCACTCGGTGAGTCGGATATTCTTGCCGAGCTGGTGGCGGCTACCGACGATCTCAACAAGGGTGCCGGGCTGGACTCGGATAATATCCGATTCCTGCTTGGTGATGGCGGAGACGGCGGCAGCGGTGGCGGCGGTGGCGACGAAGCTGATGACGTTGACCTCTCGGATTTGGTTGGTGGCGGGTGGGCAGGCGCGGCGTCGGCACTGCAAGCCGGACCGGGCACCCAGAGGAAGAGCGCAAGCAAGACAGGTTCAAGCAGGAGCGGCGGTGCGCCGCCGATCGTGGTTTCACCGGTCGTGCCTTTCAGCTACAAGTCGTTTGCGATGCTCGGCGAACTCGCGCTTCAGGCGCTACTGCTAGCGCGTGAGGCGCTGGTAACGGCAAACGGCAGCGTCAACCGGGCTCTCTCGGGCAAGTATTCACGGCTGGTCTCGCTCGCGCACCACACGCTTCGCGGTGTCACGCAGAGCCTCAAGGCAATCCATCGTGGGCGGACACGGTCGTTGCGAACGCTCAGGAAGCAGACATGTGGACTGCGGATGCTCAACCCGATTCTGAGCGCAGCGGTAGTGCACACAGCCGAACAGGCACTGGCGGTCGCCACAGATCCCCAGCTGGCGACCGAGTACCCTGACGTTGTGCGGTTTGTGGCGCTGGCGCCGGTCATTGAGGCCCATCTCAAGACCGCCGAGGTGACGCTGGCAGCACGGTATGCATACGACAAGAGGCTGCGACGGGGAGCAGACGTGGCACATGAGCGTCGGACCAAGGAGCGGGACACGGCAGGCAGCCATCGGCTTGGGCGCACCGAGTCGAGCCGAAGCAGCGGCGAGTCGATCTTTGATGCCGAGCTCTCGTCGGTCTCGACTTCGTCGACTGCGCCGCTTGCCCTCTCATCACGCTCATCAGGATCCTCGTTGCCGTTTGGCCTGTCTTCAAGCATCTCGTCTGGTTCGCTGCGGTTTGGACCGTCAACTGACAGCTGACGCCTCAGTGCCGTGGCGGGACGTCAGCCAGTGGGAGAGGCTGCCAGCGCAACGCCGTGATATTATGCAGTTTCCTCACCAGCAGCATTTCGCCTATAACAAGTACACCATGGGCGGCAGGATGTAGTAGTCTGCGCTATGTGGTGAAGAGGGTGTTGCTGTATGTACAGGGGGGGGGGGCCTTGCAAGTGGCTCGCAGTGTGTGGAAGTCGATTCTTCGCATTTTGTCAGCACGCCCAGCACGTAGATATGGTCAGGAATTGTTGACTTGCGTCCAACTCGCAGCATTCTTTCACTTGACTCGCTGCATGGACAGCATGTTATTGAACAACAGAGTGTTTATATGTGGTCTCCTGGCTGTGCTATGTCTCGCCACGAGTTACGCCAGGCCGTACTGTCCTCGGTACCCCCTCATGGACATGGAAGGGGATGAGCGTGACAGGGAGGTCTATTTGGTACGTGGTGGTGTCGGGGATTTCGTATCCCGCATTCTGACCAGCTCCAAGAACTAATTGCCCATTTCCATTGCCGTTTTCGTCATAGGTCTCCGCACCATGCGTTGCCCTGGACCACAGCAGCAGCTCGCGCATAGCAGCGAGTACAGCAGCCGGGCGACAGTCAGGCTATGGTATTAGCTTGACTATTACATGCTATGCCGCAACTGAGCCCAAGTTTGTGGGCCGGTGCCCGGAAGTCTCGCTTGTGATTGGTGCGGCTGTTGTGCCAAGCGTGATTGACACGGATGGTGAGGCAAAAATAGCCCTAATTGGCGAGGCGGCCGCTCGTGACTTTGGGGAGTTTGAGCTGGCGATAGCTGAGCCTGGTGATGGGGCGTCCATTGTGGCCGAAGTGATCTGGCGGCAGCGAGCGGCCGGCCGTGAGAGTGGCGGTGAGTTTGGAGTGAGCAGTATATCGCCCGGTGTGGTGGCACTGGAGGGTGGAACGATTGTGAACGTGTACGGTACAGGCTTCGCCGCGCCGCTTCTGGGCTTTGTGGACTCTACACCGGTGCAAGTTGTGGTGGAGAGCGAGACACACGCGTGGTTCGAGATGCCTGCGCGTGCTTCGTCAGGCTACTCGCGGCTGATCTTGCGGCATGCAAGCGGTGATCTCGTGGTGCGCGACGTGTATGCGGCGAGCGGGTGCGCTTCCGCGGGGCTCTACGGGAGGGATGACGCCTGCTACGAATGCCCCCCCAACGCAATGTGTCCTGGCGGTGACCGGATCTGGCCGCATGCAGGATTCTGGTCGTCTCATGAGGCGTCGCCGGTAGTTGCGGCGTGTCCGAGGCCTGCACGTGTGAGGTGTCGGGGCGGGCGTGGCTCGCCGTGTGGCCAGGGCTACATCGGCACGCTCTGCACATTGTGCGATGACAGCCACTATCGCGAGGGACTGGCCTGTCGATCGTGCCCGTCATCACTGGGGGTAGTGATCGCAACTGTGACTTGCGTTGTAGTTGTGGCGGCAGGGGCGGTGGCGGCAGCCATGGCTGCGTCGGATCGTGTGCTCGGTGTGCTGCTTTGGAGCGCGCGGATAGTCCAAGTGGTGTACGCAGGCCAGAAAGCGGTCGGTACGACGGTGAGCGAGCCGCTCGCAACCTTGTATCGTACCATGGCGCTGGTGGGTGTCGGCGATGTGGAGGCATTTTTGCGCCCGGCATGCCTAGGAGAGTTTGGGGTGGAAGCATCTGTCTGGATCCACTCAGTGACCATGTTGGGGACCATTGCGGCGCTGACAATGATGGTACTTGTGGCAGCACTGTGGACAAGCATCGGTACTGAGTTCTCACTAGGGACGACGCGCAACCGCGTGGTTCAGTTGGGACTGGCTGTCTTTCACGTCTTTTTCTATAATTCGATGAGAATCGGCTTCTCTACCATGCAGTGCATGAGGACTGGGCTGGACAGCGAGATGCGCCTGGCTGGCGAACCGGACATTGTTTGCCTCTCGTCAAGGCACTTGAAGATCCTGGTCGCCGGAGCGGTGCTTGTTGTCGGGCATGGCCTCTTTGCGCCGTTTATCATCAGCGGCCTCTGTCGACTTTGGTGGCCACTGGCGATTGATCGCGACGGCGTTGAAGAGGAAGGCGAGGCTGGCAGTGTCCTGCAAATTGTGCTTTTTGCCAACTTGGGAACGCAGCGGTGGTGGGGCGGCCTTGTGTTCTTGCCGTTCCTCATGTGTACGGCGGCGATCAGCGTGTTTCTGGAACACGATGCCGGCTTGCAGCTAGTGGCGATTGTGGCTGTGACCATTGTTCTCACAGCTGTACTCATTGTCAAGACTCCGTTTGCATCGGCGCGGTATGCGACAACGGCAGGGGCGGCACTAGCCACTGCGCTTGTGGGAGCTACAACATCTTATGCTGCTGCGGCTGAACCAAGACACGCGATGACGATTTCGGCTATCATGTTTGCGGCGCTGGTGGTTTTACTTGTCGGCGACATGATACTGATGTCGCCGTGGGCGCTCAGCTTGCGGACTCGATGGGCGGATCGCGCACTGCGTGCGGTGTCGGCCGTAGGTCCGGAGCAGGAGGTCGAGATCCACACGCGGCTCATCGCATCGACCTCGGGCATCTCGCTCGGATGGGGAGGGGGATCAACCATCGGGACGTCTTCGCCCAAAGGTCGACACGGAAGAGAGCAAACCAGCTCGTCACAGGCAAGTGGAAAAGAGGATTTCCGGCCACGGCTGATGAAGTCAACGGCGGTGTTTCTCTCTCCGGCCGAGAAGGATGCATTGGCACGGATGGAAGCGGTAGCCGGACCATCGCAGGTGGCAGCAGGGCCGACGGCACCACACCCGGAGACTGACATCTCGCTGTCTCGATCGCAGTCGGTGGTGATAGGGGCTGGTCGGCCGCGTGCACTACAACCGTCGCAAACCCAAGCGCAACGGGCATATCTCTTGGAGCGCGCATTCCATGCTGCGCGAAAGACGGCAAAGTCTCAGAATGCGAAGCGGATCATGCCACGGTCACAGCGGCCGCGAAAGCTTCGCACCGGGCACGCTCGACCCAGCTCACGCGGCAAGACAGCACCTTGTCTCCGCGCAGTGGAGGAGTCGAATCACGCCGTTGAGCGCGAGAGCGCAAAGGTCACGGGCGATAGTGGCGCATGTCGCATGGCGTCGTCAGACTCGATTATTGCCGACAAAAGTGTGGTGGCCTTGTCGTCAAGTAGCTCGTCAAGGATCGGCGAGGATACGTTGTCCACATCGTCGTCGGCGGCATCGTTGTCGGCGGCATCGTCGTCGGCGGCATCGTCGTCGGCGGCATCGTCGTCGGCGGCATCGTCGACGTCCACATCGTCACTTTCATCTTTATCTTCATCGACGACGTCGACGTCGACGTCGGCAGTGTCGGAGTTATGTGAGTGACGGCGGTCGAGGTATGCAATGATGGCTGTGGGCTGCGTCGTGGAACGAGGGCGCAAGTGCCGAGGAGGCGCGATCTTGGCCGCGCACACCACACTCTGCATTGAACCAAGCATATGGGGGTGATGGTGGTGAAGTGGGGGGTGAGGGTGGTGGTTGGTGGTGTTGGGGCGTAATGAGTATGGTAGGGGGGGGATGAGGGGGGTCGTGACGTGGGTGGCGCGGCGAGCGAAAGGATGGTGGGTATGGCGATTGGGCTTGAGGATTGCTGTTGGCGAGTTGGATGAGGATGACGGGTATGTGTGACGTGTGGGGGATGAGGGTGGAGGGGCTTGGGCGGCAAGGGCGAGGAGGGCGGACGGGATTGGATTGAGATGGATGTCGATGGAGACGAGGGCTTGGGATTGGAGAGGGAGGCAGACCACTGAACGCTAGCCGGCCACTGCATTGCCTATCGCTTGCACTTGCCCTCTCGTGTTCTTCCTCGCCATGGCCAGCCCGGTGGTCTCGTCGTCTGGCACGGTGGTCGGCAGCAGGGGCGGCTGGCGATGAGCAGGCCGGCGGGGGCTGTGATGGGCACGGCCGGAGGAGGGAGGGGAGGAGTGGGTTGGAGGGAAAACTGGTAGTCATTGCTATTGCTGTGGCTATCCGCATGCATTGTCTCCAATGCCCTGTCGATGGCTAGCTTGCTCTTGGTGGTGCCGGCGGTGGTCGGTCGGCGGCGGGCGGCGGTCGGCGGCGAGCAGCAGGCGGTCGGCAGCGATGCTGTTGACGGGATGGCGTCGGCTGATGTGCGTATCGGCGAGCAGGAAGTGGATGATTATGATTGCAGGGGTAGTGAACATGTGTGGTGTGGGTGTGGTGATTGTGGGTGGAGATGGTGGGGAGTGGGGGTCGGAGATCGGCCCGGGGAGGAGGGGTCAGCAGCATCGAAGGGACACCAGGACAACAAGCTGGGCCGAGCCGGCAGAACTCGGATTCCGGAATACTGCAGCTGTGGAACGGATACTATGCAGGGGGATAGTGTGTGTAAGTATTAGGGCAGTAGTGAAATCAGATTGGCCATATCTTGCAATGAGTGTGGTGGGGGTCGTG